GGAAAAACTCACATCACAACATTACAGTAATTATATTCAAAAGTTTTGGTCACTCAATCCACACTGGTGTACGCAATTGGCTGCTGTGTTTTGCCACAAAATACACAGTGAATGCACTTTACAATATATTTTGTGAAGCTTTGAGACTTGTCAATGACTTGATAAGGTGCTGTATCAAATATAAGGATTATTATTATTAATAGTGTCATTTAATTATGGCTAACATGATATACAACCCTTCCTATTGTTTTCCTCCTTCCAAAGACGCTTAATTTGTTTGTTAAGACTTGATTTGCTAAGATGCTTCTTTCTTGAAAATTGTGCCCCTCTAAATACATGTGAATATAAATGTAACCTTACAAATTGTCATCAGGGAATAATTTATAGAGCCACTGTTGTGCCTCCCTGGCTGTCGTTTATGTAGAAATGCAGAAGTTGCTTTCATCTTCAATTAGTGAAGCAAACTGATTGTTTTATTTGATAGAGACTAGCCTTTGAAGTCAGATACCACTTTGCAGGTTTATGAAGTTCAGCTCCAAAATACTATCAGTAGCAAGGGATAGTAAGGAGTTATTGTAATCCACATTAATGTCAGTAAAATGAATAGTAAAAGTACTGGCACGTTTTAAGAATACATTACCTTGTATTATATCTGAAGTATTATAAATCCTATTTATCTTTTGAATATCATTCACAGAACTCCCAATTTCCGCTGATTCACTTATTGAACAATTCCATTTGCTGAACAAATTAGTTGTTGGTCACTGGTAATTTTCTAAATTGCTCATTCTGAAGGTCCGGGAAAATCTGCAAGAACAAACCAAATGAACTAATTAACTAATTTTAAACTTATTCTATAAACTGTGTAATAAATTGCAGTTTATACTGTATTTTGATGCAGAATTTTACTATAAATTATTATCTACAATAGCCATAAAGTGCTACAACAACAACAATTTGCCTTTATATAGCGGCCTTCACACAGGGTAGCGTCTTAGAGGGCTTGACAGTGGTTTAGCGCAACTCTGAGGTGAGTGGAGGTGGAAGTGACCATAGGCACCTTCCCTACCTCCCCTCCCCTAAAAGTACTGTACAAACCTTTTCATTTTCAGTCTTATGACATAAAGCACGTAACCTGGGAAATAGAGAATTGTGTAGCACTAGTGTGATCGAAAGAACAAGTCACCACCATGTCAAAGGCAGAGCCAGCGTCGCCAGTGGGGGAGGAGAAATATAGCTCCTTTTTATGCTACACTAAAGAACACACAGAGGATGTGACAGAAAAACAAAATAATAGTCAGGAAACTGATTGCTGGATTTATATTACGTATGAATTACTTCAGAGGAACACACCACTCTCCATTTACTCTATAAGATCAAATAAAATTGATGTGAAAACTACCTAATAAGTATGTCAATGACAGTACCTGAATCTCTCAGTGAATTTTAAACCTAACCCAATCTGAGGTTCAGAGGACAGACAAATGCCACTTACTCTTTTGCTGTTGATGTATATGGGATTATCTGAATAGCTTTAATGGGCATTGCCTTATAATCTACTGAGAGGTAGCCAGTATCAACAGTATGTGATAAATTACATTATTATTTTCTGCTACTGTGTGATCAATGTTGTCGTGTTATGTACACTGAGACTAATGCAGAGCTGCCAAATGATGAAAATGAACATAGCTGTTGATTACATATTTATTTAAACAGTGTTTTGTTTGTAAGGAGCCGAGTATTTTTTTCCAGTGCCTTTAAAAATCTAATGTTAGATAGTAAAGATAAATATTTTCCCCAGAAAAATGAATGTAAATGAATAGACAGTGCCCAGTCTGGATAAATAGGGCAATCATGTAGGGGGAAAAATCATATGGGGGAAAGATGGACAAACATAGTCTATTCCTTAATTACAGAATGCTTTATCGCCAGGATGGAATAATATGGAATTAAAACATGTCCTTCAAAGTCCCCACTCCAAATACTGTAGAATATTTCACCCATGTAGTTTTCACATTCAAAACCACTGCTTTTTTAGTTAGAGAGGATCCTGAGCCCTTTGTCCCAGGACATGGGAGCAGTATCTTAACATAAGATAGTAATGCAGATACTAAATTCACATTTTCTGGTAGTATTTATTAAGGAGAACATTAACTTGCCATCCAGCCTTTAAGGTGTATCCTAATATCCAAGAAGATGCTAAAGCTATGGGGAGACAAATATTCTTGAAAAATTAAAGGGATTTTAAACTAAAAAATTCCAGGGCCAGTCTGTGTATAGAGCAGCTTTCTGAAGAAGATTTGGGAGGAAGTTTGCAAGTCAATGCCCATGAAGTTTCACAGGATTGAAGGCGAGGCAACATGGAAAGAATGTTGTACTACTTACAAACCAAATATATGTTGAAGGAAACGTGATTCAGCTGCACCTATTTTCATTACTTGACACAATGCTGTGCAAGAGATTGGCATACAAGATTGGAAGGCATGGAATGGGAATAGGAAGGGACTTCTGAAATGGATCGAAAAATGGCAAGTATGAGGGAAACAAGAGATAGTTGAACAATTTGCTGCATCAACATGGATGGACGGAAATAGCAGAGTGCTTCAGACATCTGTGATAGGGCTGTTGCTATTCACACTGTACATGAATGATTTGGATGTAAGAACAGAAATCTGCTATGTATGTTTGCTGATGATGAAGAACTTGCGTTGAAAAATAACATGAAACAGACTGATCAAATACAAAGGTTGAAATCATTATTGCAGTGTACAGCAGCCGTAAAGAGAGTGAACTGGACCTTTGGGTGTATAGCTAGAGGGATGAAGGATAAATCACAGAAAGTGATACAGGGGAACCCCTTTCATATAGGGCTGCCTCACTTGTAGATCTACTGTGGAACTTCTCTAACCAGAAGTGTGGTTCATCTGGCTTCTGGTACTAGAAAATGGTTAAACAATAAGGTGCCGAGTTATTACTGATGTCACTTTCTGTGTGTTGCCCATATGCAGGAGATATTACTAACACCAGTTCCTATATATAACGTTCTTGTGCAGTGCGCAGGAAGTGATGTTAATGGTATTTCGTGTTCATAGTATGAAGTGACATCAGCGGCAGCCAGTTGTTCTGTGCCTACATGAAGGAAGGCAGTAAATCAGTGTGAGAAGCAGGAGGTGAATTGCGCAGGGTCCACGTACACCCACATTTTAATCGAAATATATTGGGGTCTGACAGTATCTGTACCTGTGCACAAATCTGGTTCCTGTATTACAGTAACATTGGAGAGAATAAGGTGAAAGGAAACTAAATTGATAGTCAGAATTAAGCATTTTAGTTACAAGAAGTTACAGAAGCTGAGAATTTCAGACTAATAAATAGAAACCTTAGAGGAGATCTGATTGAAGTACTTGAGGTCTAAAATGTCACATAAAAAATGAAATCTAATAATATATTTAACATGATTAAAACACCTAGAACAAATTGACATGGAGTTGAGATCAGAAAGAGGGTGAACAGACAGATTTGATTCAATTACTTTATACAAAAAGTAGTGAATACGTGGAATAAATTAACCATGTGAGATGGTGAAGGCAGATTCGGTCATCTAATGCAAGGAAAAATTGAAAACCTGTTTGAGGACATTTCCAGCTATGCAGATCCTACAGCCCTGTACATAAATATAAAATTGGTAAATTTTGGGGGCTGTTTGTGGGACATTACTGTGTGCAAATTGGCTGTCTTGTTTGCCCACAAAATACAGTCACTCAATTTTATAGTATATGCTGTGAAGCTGCTTGAGATGTACTCCTGATGTGAAATGTGCTATATCAAATGTAAGAATTATTATATAAAAAGGATGACAAATCTCTCACAACCAACTCCGGACCCACTGGTCTAAGAGACAGTACATCTCAGGTAAAATAATGGAAGTTAATCTACGAAACAGGTTAGAGGAGTATCTGTACAGCAGTAACATATTAAAAAACGGGCAGTATGAATTTACAAAGGAAAGATCATGCTTTAGAAAACGCCATGATTTATGGAGGACATTACAGAACAAGTAGGCAATGGATCTCTGTATAGTATAGTTTATTTGGGCTTTAATGAAAGACGAAAGAAAAATGTTACATTTTACAGTGCCTTATCACATTGGAAAGTCTCAAAGCACTTTACAGTAATAACTATCAAGTATAGTAACTGTTTATGAAGGGAAATTTGACAGCCATTTTGCACACAGTAAGGCCCCACAAAACAACACCACCTTGCATTTATATAGCGCCTTCATGTAGGGTAGCACTCCTCTGCACCCCCCCTACCTCTCTGACCTCCTCTCTCCTCAAAACAGTACCCGTTGCCTTTGTTCCTCCGAGTCTGGCCTCCTCCTCGTCCCCCGAGTCCTCCGCTCCACCCTCGGCGGCCGTGCCTTCAGCTACTATGCCCCGAGGTTCTAGAACTGCCTTCCTCACTCCCTTCGTCTCGCTCCCTCCCTTCCCATTTTCAGGTCTCTGCTGAAGACCTTTCTTTTTGACCGCGTCTTTGGTCACCTTCCTCCCCCTCCCCCTGGCTCGATCCTGGGATCCGTTACTGTAAAGCTCTCTGAGACGCCGTCCGGCGTGTGGGGCGCTATATAACTCCAAGTTGTTGTTGTTGTTGTAACTTCTTGGAGCCATTCCTTCCGTTGTGATGTTAGACTGAGATCCTGTCTGCTTTTTCACATTTCATGACACTTAAAGATGCCTGGTATTATTTGAAAAGTGAATAGGGTTTCTCCTGTGCTCTTGACCAACAATCCCCAAGATAAAATTGGTCAGTCACTTTATGGCTGTTTATCAGACATTACTGTGCCCTCAAATTGTCTGCTGGTTTACCTACAAAATACACAGTCACTACACTTTACAGCAAAATCCTGTGAAGCCCTTTGATATATCCTCCTGATGTGAAAAGCGCTATATTAAATGCAAGTAGTAATTATTATTGTAAGATCCTGTGCATGAAGTATTTACAGAAATTCCTCCTCTTTCCAGGATGGCACCAGACAGCGGAGGGAGAGGAAGAAAACTGTTTCCTTCAGCAGCATGCCGACAGAAAAGAAGATCAGCAGTGCCAGCGATTGCATCAATTCCATGTGTGAGGGCTCCGAACTCAAAAAGGTTCGCTCCAATTCCAGAGTTTATCAGCGCTACTTTCTTTTGGATGCAGACATGCAGTCTCTCAGATGGGAACCTTCAAAGAAGGAATTAGACAAGGCAAAGATTGACATAAAGTCCATCAAAGAAGTACGAGTAGGAAAAAATACGGATATATTTCGCACCAATACAGTTTATGATCAGATTTCAGAAGACTGTGCATTTTCAATAATATATGGAGATAATTATGAGTCATTGGATCTTGTGGCCAATTCAGCAGATATAGCAAATATTTGGGTTACAGGCTTACGGTACTTGATCTCATATGGGAAGCACACACTAGACATGATAGAGAGCAGGCATGATAGCATGCGGACATCATGGCTTTCAGATATCTTTGTGGAAGCAGATACAAACTATGTAGGACACATAACATTAAATAGAGCCGTACAACTTATTAAAACTATGAACCCTGGACTGAAAACCACCAAAATTGAATTAAAATTCAAAGAATTGCACAAATCAAAAGAGAAGGGGGGAACTAATGTGATCAAAGAGGAACTCATAGAAGTTTATCATGAGCTGTGCACGAGACCTGAAATATATTTTTTGTTAGTCCAGTTTTCGAGCAATAAAGAATTTCTAGATTCCAAGGACATGATGATGTTTTTGGAGGCAGAGCAGGGAATACCACACCTGACAGAACAAGTAAGCATGGATATTATTCAGAAATATGAGCCATCAAAAGAAGGACAGAAAAAAGGTTGGCTTTCCTTAGATGGCTTTACCAAGTACCTCATGTCACCTGAATGCCATATATTTGATCCTGAGCACAAGAAGGTCTGTCAGGATATGACACAGCCTGTGTCTCATTATTACATTAATGCATCTCATAACACTTACTTGATTGAGGACCAGTTCCGAGGTCCTTCAGATATCACTGGATACATTCGTGCTTTGAAAATGGGATGTCGAAGTATTGAGCTGGATGTTTGGGATGGACCAGATAATGAACCAGTCATCTACACAGGCCACACTATGACTTCACAGATAGTCTTCCGCAGCGTCATTGACATCATTAACAAATACGCTTTTGTTGCATCTGAATACCCTTTGATTTTATGTGCGGAAAACCACTGTTCTATAAAGCAGCAGAAGGTAATGATCCAGCACGTGAAAAAGATCTTGGGAGACAAATTGTACACAAAGCCCCCAAATATTGATGACCATTATCTACCATCCCCAGAAGTCCTAAAGCACAAAATTTTGTTAAAGGCAAAGAAGCTGTCAGCAGATTGCACAGGGCTGGAGGGTGATGTGACTGATGAGGATGAAGGTGCGGAAATGTCCCAGAGGATGGGAGGTGAGAATACAGACCAGCAGAATGTAGTTCCAAATAAAAGATTTCAGCTTTGCAAAGAACTCTCTGACATGGTGGCACTTTGCAAGTCGGTGATGTTTAAGGACTTCAATGAATCATTTCAAAATCAGAAATTTTGGGAATTCTGCTCATTCAATGAAGTAATTGCTAGTAGACATGCCAATGAATATCCTGAAGACTTTGTGAATTACAATAAACGCTTCCTTGCCAGAATATATCCGAGTCCAATGAGGATAGATTCAAGCAACATGAATCCTCAGGACTTTTGGAAGTGTGGCTGCCAGGTAGTGGCAATGAATTTCCAGACACCTGGTTTAATGATGGATCTTAATATTGGCTGGTTCCGTCAGAATGGAAACTGTGGATATGTGCTTCGTCCTGCAATCATGAGAGAGGAGGTGTCTTACTTCAGTGCCAACACAAAGGATTCTGTGCCAGGCGTTTCACCTCAACTGCTCCACATCAAAATCATTAGTGGCCAAAGTTTCCCCAAACCCAAAGGCTCAGGTTCGAAAGGTGATGTTGTGGATCCTTATGTGTATGTAGAGATCCACGGGATACCTGCAGATTGTGCAGAGCAAAGAACTAAAACCGTTAACCAGAACGGAGAGAACCCCATCTTTGACGAAAGTTTTGAATTCCAGATTAATCTTCCTGAACTGGCAATGGTCCGATTTGTGGTTTTGGATGATGACTACATTGGGGACGAGTTTATCGGCCAGTATACTATTCCATTTGAATGCTTGCAACCAGGATACAGGCATGTACCACTGCAGTCGCTGACGGGGGACGTTCTACCATGTGCGTCGCTCTTTGTGCACGTAGCAATCACTAACCGAAGAGGTGGAGGGAAACCTCACAAACGTGGTCTTTCTGTGCGGAAAGCTAAAAGGTCGAGAGAGTATGCTAACATGAGAACAATCTTGATTAAGACTGTAGATGAAGTCTTCAAGCCTGCTAACCAGCAACTGAGGGAAGCGACTGATCTTCGAGAAAACATGCAGGTAAGGTTATGTAAATGTAGTTTGTTTCACTCCAATTGCAGTGTAACAGAAATTGACCCACTCTGGAACTCCATCCCAGAGTTCCTCCAAATCACCTCCTCCTTTCCAACTTTCAAAGCCCTTCTCGTGACTCACCTCTTTGACTGTGCATTCAGTCATCGTTTTTCCCTTCCTCAGCTCCCTCTCCCACTGGATTGTTGACGATCCAGCTGTATAAAGCACTTTGAGGCATCATCCTGACTTAAAAGGCGTTATATAACTGTAACTTGTATTGTGTTGTACTGTGATTGTTTATTGTGAGGTAATTTGCAGCCTAAATTTAATAATGATTTCACTATTGGGTATGAATTACAGTACCCACACACCTGATAATAATCCCTCAAGAAAAAAATAGTAAATTGGTCACTTCAATCCACAGTTGTTTGTGGGACACTGCTGTGCTCAATTGGCTGCCGACCTTCTTGTGCCCTAGATTGTAGCCTTTTACTAAGAAAAATCCTTTGGGAAAGTTGCAACCCATTAACAAGTAGTCAACAACAACAACAACAAACACATGTAAAAGCCAAAATCCACACATGGGCAGTTAGATGGCATTGCAGAATGCAAGTATGGGGGTGGTTGGGTGGGGGAGGCAATTGAGCTACAACATGCTTGAGTAATTTATATTTGATAATTAAGAAATTTCTACATCTCGGCTGAAAGGTAGACTGGAGTATTGTATTAGTGTTGTGAGGCTATTTTCATATGGGAATTTTGACCCTAATTAAGACCATAATCCATCTTGTTTTAGCCCTAAAACTGATTTTGTTTTAAAATTCAGATTGCACAGAAAGGTGGAAAATGTTTCAATTCAGTACTAAATAGTTCTTTCATTTTAAGAACTGCAGTTAATCAGCTCCAAAATAAGTCTGAATTTAAGTCACTTTTGCTATTCTGAGCAAGTGTCCATTTTAAGACAAAATCGTCTTACAGGCTAAGACTAGGTGGAATGTTTTGACTGCCAGTGAGCTGGTTTGGGCCAGTGGAGGAAATTAAAGATCATGTACCCTTATTTAATAATCGGATAAACTCTGGTAAATTCATTTCAGCAGAACTCCATTAAACAGAAATTAGCAGCATACCAAACTGTCTGGACGTTATAATAACTGCGAGCTTGAATATTCTCATCAATGTGCAATTGCCTTTCCCATTACCAAAATTGGCAATAAAAAAGAAAGTAATATGTCATCAAGTGCCTGAGATTGGATTTGGTGATGGTAGAATTATTAATAATGCAATTTTTTTCATGATCATCGTTTGAATTAAATATTGTTTTAACGTAGCCTTTTGTTTTAAAAAAACATTGTTTCTAAAATGGATAATGGGTCCTGCTACTAAGCCAGTCACCTTTGGTACTGTGGGCAGAGAGAGCTACAGCTGAACGTTGTCAAGCTGTTTTCCCAGGCATCAGAGGTGTTAGCTGTTTCCCCAAGGTATTAGAAATGAACAGCATCAACGTTGCAGGCTGTAGTTGGTTGGCCTGATCATTAATCTGGTTCAAAAAAATCTTTTAGAGCAGGAGGCTTTGTTTTTCTTAATTGAATAAAGCACCGTGGGAACACATTGAAATCTCCTGAGTATTCACAAGAGTTGTTGGCGAGTCTCAGAGAAACAGTTTTTTTGTGATTTTTAAATTTAAAAAATTCTAAGGAGCAAACACCAAGAAAAAATTAGAGTGTGTAAAAAGCAGTCCACAAATATAAAGAAAATATTCCAATTTAGATAGAGGAATGATAGAGGAAAGAATATTTTAGCAGATCTTTTATGTGTAGATGAACATGTATTAGGCTCCTTAGGTTAGAATATTTAATATCCAATGAAAGTGTTAGTTATTATTTACATGAATTAATAAATCCTATTTATTAGTGGTAATTCCACGTTTAAGGGTACCTGTAATTCCTCCTTGCATATATGTTTAGGTACTTAATAACCACATGTTTATACATGGATTACTCATAGATAAACTCTCCTTTATTATTCTGCTTTATTATTTTCCTTTATTATTCTGCTCAAAGGAACATAATATTTTCATTTGTGGTTCTGAGCTCCTGCGGATGCAGCAAAGAACAACAACACAACAACAAGATTCCATTTATAAAGCGCCTTTCACGTCAGGAGGACGTCCCAAGGCGCTGCACAGTTGGGTCATGACCCGAGCAGGGGGGAAATGGTCAGGGGGAGGGGAGGGAGGGAGCAAGGAGGGGGGAAATGGTCAGGGTGAGGGGAGGGAAGGGAGGGAGCGAGGAGGGGGAAGAGAGTCGAGAGGGGAGCTGAAGGCACGGTCAAAGAGAAAAGCTTCCTCCAGTTCATTTGCGAAGTCCAGGATCAAGCAGTGAGGTGGATTTGTGGCAGACATGGGAAGTGGCTGCAGCGAGGGAGGGCTGTGGCCTACAACGATTATTTTGTCCTTGTAGAACACAGAATTGCGATATGTTACAGCACAGAGACAGACCATTTGTCCCATCCGATCTATGCTGGTATCTCTCCATATGAATCTACTTAATCTAATCTCCTTGTCACTCCCCCCATAACCTGCCTGGGTACATGATATGACCTGCTCAATATCGGGGTGGAACCGACAACTGGTGCATTTTCAGCATTTTATTTTTATTACTTGAGAATTTACCAGTTAATTAATCATGCTGGCAAATTCTTTTTAAAAACAAATATGAAGTCAAAATTTGGATCATACATGCAAGTTTGAATAAAATATTCAGATTTTAGCCTTTTGAATTTTGGAGCAGGCATTCCATCCTATCAAGATGCAATACAAATTGCATTTATATGTTCCTTTCCCATTGGGAGGACGTCTCAAAGAGCTTCCCAGTGCTGGCTGGGCACGTGACCTGGGGATGGGAGCCGAAGTGGGTTGGGAGAGGAAAGATGGTCATAAGCGCGTTCAAAGGGGTATTTTTTGAAGGAGGGGAGAAAGCGAACGAGTCAGAGGGACTCCAGGATGGAATTCCAGAGAGCGGGAGATGAATGGCTAAAACACCGATAGGAGGCAGATAGGGCAGGAGACGTGAAGCAGACTGGTGCTTGCTCACATTTGTTACATTGGAACTCTGATGTATTGCATTTAAAAATAGAGTGAAAATAGTAGATTATTAAAAAATCATTAAAAAAAGATGCCTGTTACATCCACAAACCTTGAATTCTCCCTCAATTGGGTTTTACATTCATCTGGAATAAGTCAGAGCATACCTAGGATTGTTACCAATCTTTATAAAACAAAGAGGTCAGTGTAAAAAAACAGTGAAAGTAGGTCACACCTTTAGTAATGGAAAATACTTCCTTGAGGAAGCAATGGAGAACAGGATCCTCAGGGAAATAACTAAGTAGGAAGCTGTTAAAATTCATAGAATGTCATAGCTACAAGAAGTTGGTGCTTACGTAGGTGATAAATCAACTGATTGAACCAGTTATTGCATCCTCTTTTTGTTGTGAAAACATGCCGGCATCAAAAAACAACCACTAGATTTTATACTCTCTGTCCATTACCGTGAGTGTGAATAAACTAGGGCCAATCTTGGCAAAGCATTTGAATAAAAAATGAGGAAACTCCTCCACAGACTGCATTTGACGGGATTGAAGTGTGACATGAATCGCTGACTTATGTGAAATGCCCCTCCAGGGAATCACTTGATGACTGAAAATCAGCTCAATTTTCTACTTGGAATCATACATTTGTTAAATATATTTGATCGTTGATTGGAGCAAGATAGAGGTAAATGGTAGAATAATAATTAGAATGAACAGAAACTTAATCTCCATCTTCTTAGTTGAATGTTGGAGTATAGGCAGACACTTTAGCCCTAATAAATGACTCACTCCATGCTCTGCTGAGTAAGTAACTTCATATCGATGGACTGGTGCAGGTTGGAATTGCGTTGAGAAAGGACTGGGATAAAATGACACAAGTGTTAAACTCAAAATGAAATAAATCTAGCCTTTAAGAGGCTAACCTAATCCATTTACAAAATATTGAATGAGAGATTCACACAATGACCAAGCCACTATATTCTCTTGTGAAGTTAGAATTGTGCTTGAGGAATTCAATTACATGTTGATTTCAAGTTTGTGTCGAACATAAAAACATTATCCAAGAGTATATGATATGGGAGCGAGAATTAGATTTATCTGATTAAGACTGGGGAGTAAATGCATTACAGAATGCATTACTGAACTCAAGGAATACAGTTCAGAATTCTGCAGAGTGATATTGTGAAGGGATTTGGGCAATTTAAGTTAATGAGAGATAGAATGGCAGATGTGTCTTAATGAAGTCAAATATAAGGCAATACAAATTGGCACTAGAAATAACAAACATTTAAAAAAAAACAAGTATCTGCCCATTAACAAAGGTGCAGAAAGAAAAGGTTTTGGATGTGACTGTTGATCATTCACTGAACATTTCCAGTGAATACGAAAATGTTTTCCAAAAAACTAATCAAGTTTTAGAGTATACTTGGTTAGCACTTTTTTCTGTAATTTAAAGGAGGCTGTTGTAGTTTTATATAAATCATCCAATCATATTTGGAACATAGGATAAACTTTTGAGCATGATGGGCAAGTGGTGGGATTCATTATGGAATTCCCAAACCCGGAGTTGTGAGGAAAGGATCACAGAGCCTGGACTTGTTTTCAAAGAAGATTGAAAGAAGATCCAGGTCATTAACCTGTTGACAGAAATAAATTATGGTGGTAGAGCAGACTGCAGTATTTGTTTTATACTGTGAAAACAGAGGCAGAAGGTTAAAATTAGCAAGAGAAACATTATTTTCCCAGTGTACAAAGTAGTTAAGATGAGATGACTGACTGAAAGCCGATGAAATCCTAGTCCATGCCTTTGTCACCTCTTGGCTGGACTATTCTATCGCCCTCCTCGCCGGTCTCCCATCCACTACCATCCATAAAATCCAAATAATTGAAAACTCTGTCGCCCGCATTCTCACCCGCAC